GTTTTGAAACCAAGGCTAAGTGCTTCAAACCACTCACCAAGGTATGGATCGTTGCAATATTGCAATATTGGATTCATCGTGAATGAAGAGAAAGCAGAACGTGTGCGCCACATGCTGCGTGGTTCATCTTACGTCGTTAAGTTCCAATGAGTTTTTACGTAAAAACACAAACAAAGCGGCCCTTTTCAGGGCCACCACACACTCCAAAAAGAGAACTACCGTAACAAACACACTATTTAAATAAATCGAACGCGTTCATTTTTGACAAATAAAACTTTATTGTTGACCCTGTTCTTGGCTAAAAATCACCCTGGGCGTTTAACCGAGGATGTCCCCAACATGTAACTTTTGTGAAAACAGGGGGTGGGCGCTTGCCCAGGGAGGGGCGCGTGCCCGGGATAATACGGTATGTGTCACTATGTGTCATTACCGCATTTTATTAGTCCCCGCTCGGACGAAGTCCGAAAACGGGGACTTATAATTCGGTCTCCGTCCGTCCGTATGTCCGTGCGTCCGTGTGTCCGTGCGTCCGTCCGGAGTCATATCTCAGACTCCCTTGGACCGATTCCGTTCATTCTTTGCATGTGCCTAGTACTTTATGTGGGACATATGCACATGCAGTGGTTTAGCGATTCGATTCAAAATGGCCGACTGGCAGCCATCTTGTTTTTTGAAAATGTTGTATTTTGGACATGCTTTGTCAGTTTTCATTCAAACTTGGTACATAGATTATACATGTTAGGATACATGTCCATGATGATTTATTTCACAATTGGATCAAAGATGGCCGACTGGCAGCCATCTTGTTTTTTGAAAATGTCGTATTTTGGACATGCTTTGTCAGTTTTGATTCAAATTTAGTACATAGATCATACATGTTAGGATACATGTCCCCGACCATCCGTGAGTTCCTGAGTCTGTCCGTCCGACCGTCCGTGTGTCCGTCTATCCAACGTCATATTTCAGAATCCCTTGGACCGATTCTGTTCATTCTTTGCATGTGTCTAGTACTTTATGTGGGACATATGCACATGCAGTGGTTTAGCGATTCGATTCAAAATGGCCAACTGGCAGCCATCTTGTTTTTTTGAAAATGTTGTATTTTGGACATGCTTTGTCAGTTTTCATTTCAAACTTGGTACAT